CGTCCTCTCATTCCTCGTCTTTCCATTCGTCGAGTTTCATCGGTTTTCGTGAATGAAAACGATGCCCTTTCGAACGAACGATTGATCGTCGCGAAGTGTCCTTGAACGAAAGAAAGGGGGATTTCTCGATAGAATGGAACAGTGATCGCCGGTGAAATCGAGTCGTGAAAGTGTCGCGCTTTGAAGTATTCGAAGGTGAAGCTCGTTGAAGAATCGTTTGAACGATCGTGGCTGGAACGCGGAACAGCGTTCTACAAATTCCAATTTTCGAAGCTCGGCGACGAAGCTTCTGACCGGAAGCGCCTAAGCGGACGCCGGACAGTGATATCTGCAAATATCGTGGAAACTGATGAATTTCTCTGCTCTCATTTTTTTTTTTCCACCGACATTCGATACATTTGAAACCTTCTCTAAAGCATCGAGTGTAATATCGTTATCCATTTCGCGACGTTTTGTACCAATGGTGGATCGTTCGAATCGTTATCAATATCGTTACGAATAGAAAAAAAGAAAGGTGAATGGAAATGGAGGCTCGTGAGAAATCAACGGAATGGGCTCTGCTGTTCCCTCTGAAGGCCGGCTTGTTCGCGATGAAATCATCCTTGTCCTCGAAGAGCGTGAACCGCGAGAAAGAGCGAATAGCGAAGAAGAATCAGTCGTTGAAATCGGGGATCCGTCGCGGATCTTCTCTGTCGGAGTTGGACAAGCTTCAGAGTAAACCAGTTCTGCCGGATGTGGTTAGATCGACGGAGAAGTGCTCCGAGTCGCTGCCACACTCGCCGGCCTTGTCGAGAACGAACCTTCAATCGGGGAATTTGTATGTAAGGGGTAGCATTGGCGACCTGATGAACATGAAGAGGTACGGCGCGTCCACGTGGAGCGTGAGAAGCGAAAGCTTGATCGCGAAAGCTGTGCCGCTGAGCACGGTGACCTCGAGACACAGTCCGCCGATCGAACAAAGCATGGAGGAACTCGAGGACGAGGAGACGCAGGACGACTTTCACGTATCCGGCAAGCCTCTGACTTGCGCGCAAAGAACGCAGAGGCTCAGCAAACTCATCAAGAAACATAGACGCGTGATGGTCTTCAGCCCTAGGAGCCTGAAGCGAGATCTCGTAAGTTAAGGCAAACATTCGGAGAGGCAGAATATGATTGAAGTTTTAATTGCCCTAAGTTCCCGCTTGAAAACGTCTAAGAGTGGCTTAGAAAACAAGAGGGAGCCTTTTCCTTAGGACCGGGCAATGACGGAGTATCAGTTGCGCAGTTCTTCGCTGAATTTCAGAGGCTTATTTCAGAGTTCGAAAAAGAGAATGTACTTCTTTTGTTTCTTTTCTATCTTTTTAAATTGGAGACAAAACGAATTTCTATCGAGAGTCCTTGTCTCGCAATGATGATTATTTGTTAAACATCGGATCTTGAATTTTTCGAATTTCTGAATTCAAGGGCAATGAAATTAATTTTAGGAAACTTCTCAGAATTCAGAAGACCAATCAGAAAATTAGAAACATGAAAATAGACTCACGTTACTAGATACTAGAGGGAAACCAATGAAAACGAAAATATGAGATATTAGTAAATTAATTTTTTTCTTTATTATATATAGTTTGCGAACGTACCATAGTGACTTCAAGAAGCTTCACATCTTACCTAATTATCTTTACATTGAATTTGTATCATTTTGTATCATTCTTCTACTGTTTCTTTGTCGCGTCATTTCTACGGATGATCCATACATATATTCAACGAGATCGTGTTCACGTGGATCCTAAAAAAAAAAAAAAACGTTATCGAACTATGAACAATGGAGGAGGTAAAACTAGAGATGCCTTGTTAAACTTGAAACAGCTTCTGCAACCGTGGCGAGAGACACTTACAGGGACTGAAATATTCATGGTATATCCGTCCTTCTCTAGGCTCGTATATATACCTTGCTGGTATATTTTCGGGAAAGTTAGCTAACGCGAATGTATCGGCCTCTGTACCTTCAGAATTTCATTTCTTTCGCGTGCGATGCTTTACAGAGATTATCTCAAGATCAGCCTTACGAGCCTTTCGAGTGCATGACATTCCTCTTTAAATTTTATTACGAATACAGCCAACTTTTTAGCAATGGAATTTCTATTCAATTCGCGAGAAATTGGTGATCCTTTGTTAAATTTGTTATTAATTTATTGAGTCAAACTTTTTTGTAATATATGGTAACAGAGTTTGATGTACGAAAATTCAAGATCAGTCTTACCGAGAATAAGTATATTTATAGTTCAGTTAATTAATAAACTGTCAAAGTACATTGCTGTTGCAGCACAACGGGGTCAACAAGATGTTGAAATATTTAAAGATTATTTAAAATATAGTCCGCGACGCTGCAAATTTGTTTCTACTAGTATGCAAAGTACTGTGCATCTTCTCGAGCTTGGAGATTATCTCGGGATTAACTATACCGGCCCTTTGAATACATCATTTTGTTTCGTCTTGAAGCTTCATTGTAAAACTAGGATATTCCAATGTTTCAAGATCTTTTCTACGTTTTATCTCATTCAGAATTTCTGTCATTTATTTTCTTCGTGGGATTACCTTACTGATTACAAAGGGTATAATGAAAATCAAGTTTGAGATCAAGGGTACAATAAAAATCAAGATAAAGATGATCGTAACGCGAGAAACGTTCCACTGTCTAGAAAAGTGATATTCGCGATAGCTCGATATAAAGCGTATTTCAATGAGTAAACACCGAAGTATAATACTCAATGAGTATTTCAATGAGTAAAACACGAATGAGTAAACACGGAATCGTTTGTCATTTTTATGTAACTTTTCATCTTTATGGTAATATCAAGATCTCAAAGAAGTTCGATTGTTTATGTGGATTAAACTCAATGAGAGGTTCTTCGACGAATAAACCTCAGGAGGAGATCTTTATATCGAAGATCTTGTTGAGACAAAGAAATATCTTGGCCAGAGATTTGGCACGAGAGAGTAGCAATCGCACGCGATTCGTAAATAATTCCGTAACGTTATTTCGACGAACGAAATACGACGATCGTATTTCTTTCGAAATTTCCCCTTTTCCTTTCTACACTGGCTCTCGTACTTCATTTCTCCTCTTTCCGGCAAGCCACCATCTCGAAACACTTTTCGTATGCAAATACTTTTCGCGTGTGCTTCTACTTTCAAGTATTTCACAGTGCAAATACACTGCCTGATAGAAATTCCCACGTATTGACACGAATATCTGTGTCGAGTAATATGAATTAAAATAATCTGTTGAAGACATTGAATAACATGCTACTGATGTTAATGTAAATAATAATTGTCTTGCTAGAATATAATAATATTATGCTGGAAATCATCAGAATAGTCAAAATGACAAATTTTGTAATATATAGATAAATATATAAATAGTGTGCTCATTACTGTAAACTTTTTTCTATTCTTCTGATTTGAATTTTTCTGGTGGTGCGAATTTTATATTTTAATCGTCAATAGTTCTAGTATTACATTCTATCTTTGTACTCTATTCTTCTAGTATTACAATCACTAGAAACAATGCAATAAATATTTTAGGTGAGAATTACACTTAATTACATTTAAAAAACATTAAAACATTAGGATACTAGGATAAAAACGTCTTCGTTACATTAATACTAATTTACAAAATCTCAAATATCCAACGAAGCAAAAATTACACTTTGATCGACAGTTTCTCCGAATATCTCCGAAAGCTTTGTAAATTCGAACAACTATATTAATTTAATCGCAGGTATACCCGGCATACCTTTGAGCATTGTAGCACATTTAGAAGTTAATTTGGCCGTCGTCAAAGTGCCCTCGAGATAATTTTCAATTCAAGGTGTCCTTTACGCCGCTCCGCGAGAGAGTTTCTTTAAAACTTATCTGTACGCAAATGCAGGCTCGCGGCTTGGGGCGGGAACGAAAGCTTAATCCGCGATTTCGAGTGTTTTCAACGGTGCGTCGTGACCCGTGGCACAGAGAAGGAGAAGATCGTTTTATACCGTTGGCGACCGTCGAATTTTTGAACGAGCCAGCAGTGATCCCCGGAGGGAAACCTCGACGCCCGTGAACCATCGTTATGGCGGCCTCTCGACAAAAATTTGCATACTTTTGTACCGGTCACGTAGCTTCTAGTAATTTCTCCCCTTCCCCCTCACTTTTCACTCGCCAAACACGAGTCGGCGTTCGAGCTTTTAATTTTTGTCTCTCTCTTTCAATGCGTAAAGGGAATTGTTCCAGCTGCCCCATTCCTCGAATGCTCGTTCTGCGAGGAAAAATGCGTGTACACGCGACGGTACAAAGTTAACGAACGAAGTTTCTTCCTTTGTGGAAACACGACAAACGCCTTGTCAAAAGGACAGACACGTCGTCGAAACGAGAATTTTTTTTTCCACCATCCCCGTGCAACGTTTCCCGTTGCTCTTGCAGAGGGTCAGATGGTGAAAGGCATTCGCGTAATTGACTAATTTGATTGGACGTTGGACGATTATTTTTGATCAAAGGCGGAATTATTGCAATATCGCGTATACGAGTTCCCAGCGAGGTTTTATATTAAGTCACGTGTTACGAGTTACCATTGTATTGATAAATCCTTTTGTAGCAACGAATTTCATAATAAAACGAATGAAATTTTCCTGCTGAATTTGACAAATTACCAATTATTTGAAAAGAACTTGTTTGTCGACAAATTGTTTCGAAATTGGTTCAGACGATACATTACGTTTTTGAGCCGAACAATCGAGAAATATAGGATAACTAAGAATTATTTTTGTTTGAATTGAAGAACGTATAAAGGACGTATGAAGGCAGTTCGCGTTAATTGAATCTAATTGTTACCATCAAATTGCGAGAACTGAATTGGAGTTTGGATATATGAGATTAATTTCTCCCGATCAATGACGTTAATTAGACTTAAATGTTTGATGAGTATTCCCTGTCTGAAGATCGCTCGCGTCGACCTTCGATTACTAACTTCTTATTAACTAACGAAAGATTAGGAACAAACTATAGCCAACTAATTAACTCCAATCGAGTCTTCATTAATTGACGACTAAATATTTACTAGTCATTCGACTTGTTAATTAATACCGCGCCCTCAGGACTTCGCGCTCCGAGCATCTGGTCTCAAAGGTATTCACCTAAATCGATGCAGCTAATAGAACATTCGCTTTCCTTTTATACGCTTCTTATAAATTTATAATTAACTTAGTGATTTTTTTCATGTTAGTACAAGCTCCCAGAGCTTGAATTCTTCGTAGATATTTCTTTCTGCGAATAATAATAATAATAATAATAATAATAAACCGACGATTACAGTAACAATAGATTTTGGTTATTAAAAAATACTTATAAAATTATTTTATTTACTTTAGTATTGCACAATTACTTTAACTATTTTACCATATTTTTTCATTTTGTGCTTTACTATAAAACTTACTTTACTATAGAATTGAAGATTCGAGCACAGCTAATTTCTGATAGGATACTTACCCCCAACGATTAAAGCGAAGCACGTAATCGCACCGAGCAGCAAGGAAAAACTAACCTCGACTCGAATAATGTTTTATTCGAAGGCTGTTGTCCGTTAAATGGACGATCCAGGTACGAATCTCGGCCCAGCGAGCCGATCTTTCAATGCGGTATGGAATACAGAAGAAGAGAATTTCGAACAATCGAAATTTATCACCGTGTTCGGCAATGCGGCGATCTTTGTCGGCGCGATAAAGCTTTAAAAATATGTGCTGCTTGTATGCTAGCTGCGGTTACCAGGATATCATTGTACCTAGAGCTTGACTTCTCCGTGAGAGGCTGATATAGAACGCATTTATATCGCGAAGATACATATGAGAAAGTTAACGGTGTGTGGGAAAACTTCGTCCTTGCCACCTGTGCACCTCGCGCGGTTCTCAGGAGGGAAAATCGGAGGAGGAGGAGGAGGGGGGGGGGAAGGGAGGAAAATGCCGACGTTATATTTTTCAATGTTTGGCGAAATTCCTTCCATCTCCTTCCCTCAGTTCGACGGATACTTCGAATATTTGTCGTCTGTTGCCTTGTGAACTTGCCTCCCGAGATTTTTAGCTTCGTGCTGGGAATTCGAAGAATTTCCTGCGATAATTTCATTTCGCTCTTATTTAGAATTATGGGATGTTACAGAGAGCGATCCTGACGCGTTTGAGAAAATCGAAGATATCCTCCTGTGATTCTTTGCGATCGTCGCGTCCGTTTTAGCGTTTAATATAGCATCCTTAGGGGAATATTTATACATCATGAGTACTTTGCTATAAATAATTTCAAAGGCGCGATTGTCAATGGCGGAATTTAATCAAGCTATTAACATCACTTTAAACGAACTATCGCCGTTGAAATATATATACATTTTAAACAAGATATGAAATTTGAAAATTATAAAATTATAAATGTTCGGAAAATTGAGCAAGTGGGAGGGAATTAAGGAATTAAAAAAATTAGAGAATTGGAAAATTACATAACCAAAGAATCGACGTATCAGAGAATAAGAAAAATTAAGAAATTGAGAAACTAGAAAGTCAAAGCGTTGGAGAATTAGGAAATTAAAGAGTTTGGGGAAAAATTCGAGGGATCTTTCCCATTGAAAAGGAGGCACAATGTTCAACGCTGTAACCACAACTCAAGGTGGAAATCTTTCGGCGATAAAACTTAACATCCATCGTCTCCTCAGTTGCATTAACGACAGGCTAAAATCAATTTCCCCTCAAAGTGTCCCTCGCTCTGGAACTGTACGTAATTACAACACTTGCTGAAGAACACACGAGTTTTCGCAGGCGGACACATTCATAATGCTCGACGCAAGCACGTAATCTAACTTGTTGGCCGACAGCTTTATCTGAGAAGCGGATGCTCAAAGAGATAAGTGATCCATATCAAGCACGAGATCGATGGACAGCACCGAAAGGAAAGGAACAGAGAGAAAGGATCAATCCCAGATTAATCCGACTCCGCGGTCAAGTCTCGGTTTGCACGCCTTTGCAAAGTGCAATAATCCTCTTGTTAACACAGCCATGTTTGACTATAGCATTATAAGACGCTGGTATAACAAATCACTTGGATGCTGGAGAGAAAGGATAATCTCCATGATTTCCACGGAGATTATTTATTGAATCGTTTCGTTGATTGCATTGCAGTTGCTCTGATTAAATTCGTACACGTCTAACGTTCTTGGCTCTAGACGGAGTGCGTAGATAAATTATGGACGAGATTCTTCATTGACTGAGTCCAGGGAATATGATCGCCAAAGTTGAACGTTATCATTTTAGGTTATCGTATTGTTTTCTTAAATATCGCCCTGGGAGCCGTCGAAAGTTTCAACATTAAGAGAGTTAGACATCTCCCGGTGAATGGAATGAACGACTGGAGAGAATTTCAGGAGCAATGATAAAATAATCGGAATTTCCTCTCTGTTATCTTTACTGTTTTTTCTTTCGCGAGTAATCGCAACAGTTCAAATCAGAGCCTCCTCGCCACTTCGTTGAGAATTATTATTTATTTCGGAGAAGGTCTTCCTATTTCTAAACACGGTGTCTTCTATAGGGAATTTTTATACATTTGTTTGAAAGTTTAAAAGTTTTGATCAAAAACAAGAAATAACGAATAAGTTATAATATTTCATATATAGACGATCAAGAAGACAACACACGAGTCTACGAAACGATCCCCCCCCGAACTTCGTCTCTTTAGAAAAGAGAGAAGCATGTCTGTTTTCTTTTTTCTTCGCCCCTTTTATTGCCGATATAAACACAGCGGCGTTGGACCGGGTCCCTTTCAATTTGCTACGATTTCCTACTTACAGAGGAGATAGCTCGATGCAAAAGAAATTAGAGGACAGAGGCCGGGCCAGGCTGCTTTGAGAATGTTCATATCTATCGAATCGGTCGGATTGATTCTGGTCCAGATCCCTGGAAACGTACCCTTTTTATCCGTTTCGCCAGGCAAACGAGACGGTCACTGGTGCGTGCTCTTTCTCTCTCTGCTCTCACAATACTTCCTCATGCTTGCGCCACCATCCCTATCCCGTGGACAATCCTTCTCTGTGAAGACTGTCTCGTACGATCCTACCGATATCGCTAGGAATATCGCTTCAGACGTTCGCCGTCCGGTTAAAGGACGCCAACTTAAATCCTCGATTAAATTCGACGTGAAACGAAATCTCGTTCGCCGATCAAGGACTGTGGATTTCTCCTCTTTCACTTTGAACACGCTAGGATAAATCTTTGCGGATCACGGATCACGGATCACGTTCGTTGCGTGTAAAGCTATGGTATTCTTTTCAGAGGGACGATAGAGATATTTCAGACAACGAATTCTGGCATTCAGAAGAACATTTTTCATCCAGATAGTTGTTATTATCGTCTGTGACGTGAATTAAAACAACGGATGATTTGGACATCGTTAGAATAATAAAATATAGTACGTAACGTGTCAAAAGAATGATTTCTTTTTACACTAGAGATATTTATTATAATACATGCTGGGATCTATAGATTGTCTGTAGATTGAACTTCAAGAATCGAACTTCGTCGGAATCTATAAATTATCACCTTGCGGTCAATGAGATCAGTACGTTAGAACACACAGGCGATTGGAATACATAAACTGGCAGCTTAATATCGCCTCGGAATTTCGATATTCGAAACTCGACGTCATTGAGATACATAAATTAGAACCGTGAGTTTGCTGGAATCCGCAGAGTAGAATTCAAAGGTTCTTGTAATCATTACGTCTAGAATTCAGAGAGTTAGATTCCCTTTCAGTAGGATTCTACGACCGATAGGATATTTATGCTGGAGAGATCGTTGAACCCTGCGATGTCTGTTCGAATATTTCACTCGCAAGGAACGTTTTATAAAATTTTATAATTACAAGGAAACTTGTTTGGCGACGTGAAATGACTTTATTTGCTTCTCTTATGTTATTCCGTTTGTCCGTGCGTTATTCTCTCTTGTGTGTTCCTGGAGACATTTTCAGTACTGTACAGGCGTGTACAGCTCATATTTATTCATGAGCTCCAACGAAATAATTAAAACAGCCTTTCCCGGCTGTTTCTATTTACAAGCGTCAAACTCGCTGCACGTTTAAATGCGGTTAATTCAAAGCAATGATGTATTTGTCAATGTTATCTTCTTCGGCCTTTAATTTCCAGCGTTTCGCCTTTGTCGTCGCAGTTTACTGCCATCATTCCGTACGCAGGTATTTTTATCGCTTCTCGGATTCTCGTGGACATTGTAATTACAATTATACATCTTTCATTTATCATTATACACATCATTATACACATAGTCTTGTTGTCGTTCGTTGTATTACATTGATAATACAATTAATATCTTCGTTACTCTGCATGAATTATTCCGACAGAATACACACTTTGTTTTACCGAATGTTTGTAAAACTAATCAGATTTTGCTCTGAATTAATTATCGCGATCTCACTGAAGCTTGTATTCATACGACGAAGCTGTTGGACAGGTTGAAAATTTAAATGGCCGGATTACTAGTATATGTACCAATCCTTTTCGAAATTATTAATTCGTTTTCTCGCACGTTACAGATGGTTCTGACATTTGACTAATTGAATGTGTGCTGAGCCCCAAATGAAACGTCCTTCAAGAAGGATCTGTTTGCCAACCCGAATTCGTGAAATCATATATATTTAGCTGTCGCTCATAATTTTGTCAGTCATGATCACGCTCCGGAGGAATTTTCTTCTTCAACTTTAGGCAACTATTTCGATGAAATTCCCCAATGTCCGACGTTGTACGAAATGCAGAGAAATATTGCGTTATCGAAAATAAAAGTCACGGTTTGGTTACTGAAACGATAAATGTTGTATATTTATGCAGTACATTGAACATCAATATTTCGACTGTTTGCGTATTTCAACGATATACAATTTCAGATTATTTGGCTGCAATACTACAAAAATAAGAATCGCTTGGAAAACATCATGTTTATAATATAGATAAGCAATTTATTAATCAAAATGTAAAATAAACATGCAATTTATTTCGTGTGCACACCAGGTTATCGAATATCGTTCGTAATTATTCGAATGATATATATGTATATTCAATCGTATTTAATTTACTCTAAAACTCACCCCAATTATACGTATATAATTCTTAATTAAAACAACGAGCACGTTTTGAATTAAAGTTAAATTTATTTCTTAATCAAGTAATTTTAGAAATTGAAATTAATCGAGAAGTCGTTCGAGTAATTAGTGCTGTACATTTTTGTAATAAGGAGACCACGTCACCATGAATCAGTCTAATCATTTTACTTTTCCTTTCCTTTGTTACAGGTGAGTACCTCTGTTCTTTTAATCCTGTCCAAGAGTGCATCGATCGGTCGCGCGAAATCCTCAGTCGCAGGTGAGTTTCATTATCAGCACGATGCTTCGCCCTTGATTACAATGATAGATAAACAGAGTCAACAGGGTGATGACGTCCGCGATATTATGTCGTCAGTTATACGCCCATCTGCTAAATTGCTGTTAAAAAGCGTGACACGACGGTACATCGTTCCATGGATAATCGAGATCTTGTGTGAAATTAAGCGAAGGTGTACCGGGTGTTGGAAAACCGATAAGGCGAATACAGTGCAATATGCAGTTTGTCGTCAGACAAGCTATTTTCGCGAGCAAAGCTTCACTTTTCACATCAGCGCCCTGCTATCGTGAAATCGTGCATCGGTACGAGCTTTGAATTGACCCTTTGCAAATTCTTTTGATACATTTTTCATACGTATTTGTATCAAATGATTAAATCTGGCTAAATGAAATGGAACTCTGCATTTAGTTTAGCTGTAGGATAACAGAGGGTAAAAATATCAGCCAAATGGCAACTCGTGATGCGTGAAATTAGCGTTTAAGGCGTACAATTTTATCAACAACCAATTGACTTTCTTTTTGGCGAACAGTCAATTGACCAATTGAATCTTTACGAATTTTCATTAATGTTCAAATCAATCAGCGATTAATTTTTAAATATATCCAACTTTAATTCTTATGTAAGTATGAATCTATCGCTGGTTCTTAGATATTTATCTTCGATATATACATGTTATATTTCTTCGAAATATATACTGTTACTGTACATAACCTCATCATCAATACTGTTATTGCAAACGAGCTGAGATATTGTATTCCCCACGTTTACTCAAGAGTGTGATATAATTAATCGAAGCGTACGTCAGGATGATAAGTTCGTTCAGTCGTATGAAAGACGTGCGTTCTCGGCACGACAAGATGATTAAACATGCAGGAGGCGTTTTGCAATACGTTTTATCACGTGTCGTACACACGCATATATATCCGCTTGTGTTCGGAGATGGAAATTTTGATGGCTCGCCGTAAGCCGGAATTATCGAAAATTTTGACAGATTTATATACTCCCAGTACGAGTGTACATAAGCGACCCAAAAATTTCTTCGGTGGTCAAATGTCAAATCGCATAAATATATGATCGAATTTTATCGGATAAATTCCACCCCTCCTACAAATTACCTTCGTCTGGCTGTTTCAATTTATTAAAAATCTTTCTCCGTCAATGTTTATTTGTCACAGTATATTCATAATTATTTTAAAAAGGAAAGAATATTTGATTTACAGATTGCCAGAGTGTTATTAAATAATTGACATCTTTCCTTCGATTGTCCGACATATCTATATTTTATACATGATCATTGTTCAAATTAATTGATGTTTCAAACCAATACAAGCAGAAAATCATTACATACTAATAATCTTAATAGATCGGTTAGAAATTTAATTTAAAGTTAATTTGAACAGTCGTATAAATCGACTGTAATGAAAACTGACTTGAAGAGAATTTATATAAACGCATATAAGAATTAAAGCAATACAGAGACTCGAAGACAATTATTTAAAGATATATATATATAGAGAGAGAGAGAGAGAGAGAGAGAGACACAGTCTCTTCTGCAAAGTCACACGTACGAAATGAACATCGTTGAAATAACGAATCCTCGTGATAATATTTGCTCCGAAATATTATCAAGAAATCAATTTACCATTGGATGAAATTGAAGTTTGACATGTATGATTCATTAATACAACGATGAAATCGTTCGGTGAACTGTGGCATTCGCTTGTTCATCGATGCGTCGGGCATCCCTTCGATATCCGATAACACCGAAATCGTGGACCATTCAGACTATCGATACGATTTACATTTTACGCGGCCGCTCTGCGGCATCCCCCACTGTAAATCGCCATTAAATCCGACACGCTTTCGGTTTGCCCTGATACGAATACCAAATGAGTGCTTTCTGCGGACAGTGTCGGCCAGTTACTTTGCATCCCTGGTTAATTGACTCGTCCTTTGTCGTCCCCTTTCTTCGTGTTCACTGCTGCGGCTCGTCGAAACTTATCACGCTGTACGCTGTTTCGCGTTTTTATCAGAAATTACGAGAGGGATGAAAATTAAGGGGAATATTGGTGGAGAATATCAGAAGTTTGTAGATCTTGTTGGTGTTGCTTCTCTTGATATTTGACAGTTTAAGTGAACTTACACTCGTTGGCAGAAGATGGAGTTTCATTTTTATTTCGATCATTTATATTTAATCGAAAAAAATAGATTTTTATTTTTATTTTTGATTTATTGATAAATGCGTATTTTATTCGTACAATTATTATTTTGTCTCCCTTCCGCTTAAAAAGGAATATTTTTTCAAATAGTCGTTCTATGGAGTAAGAATACATATGAGTATGAAATATGAAATGTTCAAACGTTCAAATTTTTAAGAAAAATTTGAGCTTCGAGAAACAGTGTGGACTTTAAGTGTTACGTAGTTTTTAATAAAGCAAGATTCATCTCAGTTTGTCGGTCAGCGTTCAATAAAGTTCCTGGGCTTTGTGTTACGCCGTAATTAATACGAACACCACGGAGACATCACGTAACGATGTTAAACGAACGCCACGTTCACGTGAGAACCAAATTTTACGGTCCAAAAATTTGTACAGTCGGATTCGATCGCCTATAAATTTTAATTTTATGATGAAAGATTTTCCATAACGTTGCTTATTTATTAAACGTCGCCTGAATATGTTAAATCGATTGTTTCGTTCTTTCAATTTAGCATCAATATTACGAATATTTCTTTTTTCAATTTAGGATCAATGTTA